GGGCTGAGGGCTAAGGGCTGAGCTTTCTAGACACCCCTATTTCATTTCAAATTATAACAGTACATCAGGCCCAAATATAAACCAAGAGGGATGAATAACAATACATTTTGTAACCAGCCTGATTGATACTCAGTCATGATTGCTGATCTCTGACATACAGTTGTATGTACAAAGAACACCCTCGTTGTTAAGCAGTAAATAAAAATGTTGTTGTGGTTCTGGATTTCCTGTTGATATTATAATAATAAATTATCATTGTGAATGTCCGAGGTGACTAACACCAGTTATATACCTTTGAACACTGGGATTTTATTTTACAATATCCATAACATGTTTCCTTGTTGACACAGGCATGCTTTATGGTTGTAAAATCTACACAAAGAAGATATATACCGGTAACCAGGATTCGAATTAAAAAATACATAGTTTTCACAAAAAAACTAAGCTTTCAACAACCTGTTACTATTGTCTTCAAGAATAAAAGCTATAGACTAGAAAAAAAATTAAATGCATGGAATAAAATGCAAATTTGAAAATGTGAACAGATGAATTTTTTTGTTTCTTTAACCATTTAACTCCCAATATCCACATACAAATTCTCCCTACTGATCCCCATACATTTCCTTTTAATATTGGTTGGGAGAATTTGTGAAAACATTAAAGGGACTTCCCTTTGGTGATCATTTTAGTAAATCTCATGGCCTTTCCTCGTAAATAGGTATTATTACTGTAAGGAGAAGTTTGAATTTGGTCACTCTTGGGAGTTAAAGGGTTGAAAGAATGTGATATTTAACAAGAGAATGAATTTTTTCAACTCTACACTTTAAACAGGACGTACATTTTTACAATGCAACTGTATTCACCACTACTTAATCAAAGTAACAGGTCATGAAGTCAAAAACTGCTTAACTGCAGGTAATATTTTCCCTGCAGCAATACTTTCATTTATCCACTTCATTAAGTCACTCCCACAAATAGAACACTACGGTCTGTTAACTGCTGTTTTTGAAGACCACAGAAGCAGTAATCACTCTCTCTACACCGTTTTGGAATGTAATATTTTCCCCTTCAACTGCTTTGGCTTGACCTTCCAAGCTTTGCCTCCTGTACTTTACTGAGTGGGGATCAATGTCTCTACGCCAGACTACTGCAATGTGCTCATGTCGGAAAACATGCTCCCACCTTTGACTCTTTTGAACATTGGTTGTATTTTCCATGTACTTTTTATGTTTCATATGTTTGGCTTCATGCCCTTGCATTGTGTTTAGTCCCAACCCAAATGATAACGTTTGAAACAATTCTTTGGTGTGCAAAGGAACAATATATCCAACTGTCCAGACTGTAGGATTGACTTTTTGTAGAAACAGAGCATTCACATTGAAATATTCCATGCAAGATTTCTCCACCTGCAAAATTTGTTCTTCTGTGATTCTTACCCTACTGAAAAGGGAGACACTATCACGCAATTTTTCAGCAGTTTGTGAAGAGCATGTAACTTAAAAGCTGTGTTCCTGTCAGGTTTCATTTGTAGCAGTGTTTCTGTCACATGCCCAAAATTCCAGGAAAAGTATTTTGATTCTTTCGCTGTAAATCTGTAAGTGAGATCTTGGCCTTTTTTGCACTTTTCATTGTACCACTAACGGATGTTGTTGCAAAGCCTTTACACTTAAGTAACTGTTCTAGGCAAGTAGCAAACTTCTTCAAAGAAGATGTGCATAGCAAGTCTTCAAAAGTGTCTGCCTTTTTTATGACCTCTTGGTTTGTAAGTTTCATACCAATGACAAACATTTGTTGGAACAAGTGCTGCCACGCATTGTTGCATGTGTGCAGTGGTTCAACCTTGGCTTTGTCAATAAATTTTCCCAGGGGGGGCTCAAACTCTTGTCTAGATTTCTGGTTTGCAATAAAGGTAGTGACCTTTGTCCGGGCTTTTAATTCTTTCTCAGAAAGCTTTTGTTGTATTTCTCTACAGCTTTTGCTTTCTCAATGCAGTCTGAAAACTGCCAGTGCTGCCAAGTTGCCTTTTTGTCACCTATCTGTCCCCCCAAAGTGGCCATGTTCTTGTTGCTTTCATTTGCGAAGGTAGAAAAAAAGGTGGCAGCATTATTTAGTTCCCCTGCCATAGTGGCAAGCCATTTTTGATCACTTGGGACAAGCTGTTATACAAATTTGACATCAACATTTTCAGTTGTGTACTTCTTGGCCTCTATAGGTTTCATTTCTTTCACAAGGTGCTTAGTGTAACTGATCATAACTGCATCATCTTCTTTACAATTGGCACCCATGACAAGAAAGTTATCTTCACAGCTGGCAACTTGTTGTAAGAGGTTCAAAAAGCTAACTTAATAAGCCGTTGCTGTATCGTCTTTGTCAAACGGTGCTCCATCAGCGCCTACAGCAACATAAAACACACCGACTTCCTCATTGAACCAATGTAAGCAAAGAAGGGTATCATTGGTCTTGATATAAAAGATGCTAAATAAAGTTGAAGTAGAAGTTGAAGTTGCTAACTGTACAAGCAGTGGTTTCAAACTTCTATACACCCCTGAAACAGGATTGAAGCCTGCTTCCATACAAAATTCTCTTAGATCCTTTACATCACCTATGTCAACAGTTTTTATAAACTTTGAAAGAGTTTTGTAAGGTAATATGTTCGGTGCATGACAGTCTTGCATTATTTAAATTGGACACTTCCGTATGGTATTGTACTTCCTTTTACTCATTAAACCCCCTTCATATAATACTCTCACACTCCTGATTCTATTGCTTTCAGATTTCTCAGTCAGCTTGTTTATTTCAGTAAACATAGAGTACTAAAGTGATGACGTCATAAAAATGAAATTTCTGAAATTATTGGATTTGTCAGGATATTCTGAAAGAACAATGTCCAAGAAAGAGGCCTACTTGCCAAAAATGAGCATTTCGGGGCAAATTGTCTCTGAGATCGTAGCCCAGTTATACTCAGAAAACTCCATACAAACCCTTCTTTTTTGGGGGGGGGTCGACCCAAAAAAAATTTAGAAGGGTTTGTATGAAGTTTTGTAAGCATAACTGGGCTACGATCTCAGAGACAATTTGCCCCCAAATGCTCATTTTTGGCAAGTAGGCCTCTTGGACATTGTTCTTTCAGAATATCCTGACAAATCCCATAATTTCAGAAATTTCATTTTTATGACGTCACACTTTAGTACTCCATTATGGTGAACTTAATTAGATAGGGATTTTTATTTTATCTTCTGTTTGTAAATCATTGCAAGGCACATTGAGCTTTGTAAATGCGCCATATGAGAATGTATTTATTATTATTATTACCCCTTCCGTATACCTCCTATTGGCAAATGGTACCCCTTTCACATGCCTGAAAATGGGCATGGATTTTAGAGGTCTAGTCTAAAAATGGGTGTGGAAAATTACATTTTTTGGGTATGAAATCAGATCAGGATTTGAAGAACCAGGCAGCGCACCCCCACCAAGAATTCCCAGGCGCACCTTCCCGGAAGAATTTGCTGTCCGCTCGTCTTCATAGCTCAGAGAACTCAGAAGGCAAAGTGGTGTTTGGTCTATTTTCAGATGAGGAAAACCAGAAAGTCAGGGAGAGTGAAGGATTGGGTTTCCAACATTTCTACTCATGAAGATTTCGATTTTGACAGCAGTACTGTTGAACCTACACTGAGAATGTTCCAAACGATGCAACTTTGAGGTTTTTTTCATATAATATTAAATTTTACAGGAGAGGTTTACAAACTGATTATAACACAAAAAACTTATATCAAGCAGAGTAACCTAGTCCTAGCGAGCCTCGTAATCATCAAACACTAACCTGGACTAATCTCACTGATGATGAGCCTGTTCCTTGCAAAAGAGACAACTGGGATCAGTGAATCCTGGTATTGCAGAAGGTATGATTAGAGACAATGACAATGAAAGTGAGTATGCAAAAAAGCCAAAAGACACACTTGATTGCAGTAAACTTTATAACATCAGAGAATGAGAATTGCATATTTCTCCCCCATATTTTCATCCCGATGCGACGAGATCACCCTGAGATTACGTTCCAAAGGTCAATGACTCATACAGCTTGCGTTGCCTGTGGTCCAAAGACAACTGATTTCTCGCGCTTTCCCGAAAAGCGACATTCCACAAAAGTTTTGGAGCATCTGTAGTAGCGTTCGTTACCAAGTTGGATGCTAAACACAATCGACAAAATCCCTAGCGGTAGCGTTTGATAAGTAAACCTGTGAATATTGCTAACTTTGTGCATGGTTTACCTTCAACCCTACTGCGACTAGACACCGTCGACGGTCACCGAATCGGTATTTCACCGAATCTCTCATTTTAAGATGGCCGCCAGCAAACTTGCTCATCACGAAGAGAATAGATCATGTTTATTACTCCAGGTTTAAAGATACCCATCACCTCAAGACTTTTCCCACTTCTCATCTAGGTTCAAACGTCAAGATTTTTGCCTCTTGCGCAGCCGGGACGGAAGCAAGTCTCACCTGAGGCACGATTGATCTGACGGAGATCGATCTGTTAACGGCCTGATGAGTTATTCAGGCTTATTTATGTTTGTTTGCATTATTTTCCTGAGCAACGATACGCAAATAAATAAAGTTGTACAGTTATAATAACGCATTAAATATAGAGGACAGAAAAAGTTACTCACCAATTTCCTCCGCATTCCGACCACTTTACCGCGCAAACAACTGCGCTCCCAGGCCTGCTGCGCTCGTCCAATTTCCCGTATGTGCGCCTCGTTTTCACATCTGTGTCGTGTGTGCAGCGAAGTGTGCAACGTGGCAACTTGCATGCTTGAAATCAGCGCCGTAGCTAGTATGAGGCCAACCGAGGCACTCGCCTCGGTAAAATTTTGACGAATTTCGCCGATCATTTTTATTTTACATAAGCGATCATCGGATATTTTTAGAGCGGTTTTCACTTGACTGTCGTAAAACCAAAACCAAAGTAAATACACTAGCCAACCAAAGGGCGTAGTAAAACCAAAACCAAAACCAAAACCAATCCCTTTCATCAGGGAGAGTGAAGGATTGGGTTTCCAACATTTCTACTCATGAAGATTTCGATTTTGACAGCAGTACTGTTGAACCTACACTGAGAATGTTCCAAACGATGCAACTTTGAGGTTTTTTTCATATAATATTTACAGGAGAGGTTTACAAACTGATTATAACACAAAAAACTTATATCAAGCAGAGTAACCTAGTCCTAGCGAGCTTCGTAATCATCAAACACTAACCTGGACTAATCTCAGTGATGATGAGCCTGTTCCTTGCGATCAAAGAGACAACTGGGATCAGTCTATCCTGGTATTGCAGAAGTTATGATTAGAGACCATGACAATGATTTGAGTACATGCAAAAAAGCCAAAAGACACTCTTGATTGCAGTAAACTTTATAACATCAGAGAATGAGAATTGCATATTTCTCCCCCATATTTTCATCCCGATGCGACGAGATCACCCTCAGATTACGTTCCAAAGGTCAATGACTCATACAGCTTGCGTTGCCTGTGGTCCAATAAGACAACTGATTTCTCGCGCTTTCCCGAAAAGCGACATTCCACAAAAGTTTTGGAGCATCTGTAGTATGGTTCGTTACCAAGTTAGATGCTAAACACAATCGAAAAAATCCCTAGCGATAAGTAAACCTGTGAATATTGCTAACATTGTGCATGGTTTTCAACCCTACTGCAACCTGACACCGTCGACGATCACCGAATCTCTCATTTTAAGATGGCCGCCAGTAAACTTGCTCATCACCAAGAGAATAGATCATGTTTACTACTCCAGGTTTAAAGATACCCATCACCTCACGACTTTTCCCACTTCCCATCTAGGTACAAACCTCAAGGTTTTTGCCTCTTACGCAGCCGGGATGCAGGCAAGTCTGACCTGATGCACGATTGATCTGACGGAGATCGATCTCTTATCGGCCTGGCGACTTATTCAGGCTTATTTAAGTTAGTTTGCATTATTTTCCTGAGCAACAATACGCAAATAAAGCTGTACAGTTATAACAACGCATTAAATGTAGGGGACAGAAAAAGTTGCTCACCGATTTGCTCCGCATTCCGACTAACATTCCGACCACTTTGCCGCGCAAACAACTGCGCTCCCAGCTCCCAGGCCTGCTGCGCTTGTCCAATTTCCCGTATGTGCGCCTCGTTTTCACACCTGTGTCGTGTGTGCAACGTTAATGTGCAACGAAGTGTGCAACGTGGCAACGTGCGTGAAATACAGTAAGCAAAGAAACGCAATAGGGGGAAACTGAATTCCCATATAAAAACTGCCCTCCAAAACTAAAAGATAAGACAATTGAAAAAAGAATATCTGATAAATAACTCTACATTATTTCACTGTTACATGTATTATTACAAGAAAAACAAGAAACAAGAGGAACTACTTAAATAATTAACAAGAAAAAGAACATCAAATATAGTAAGAAATAATAAAATTTGACTAATTACAAAGATAATTAAGTAATCGAGTTTTAAAAGAGTTCAAACTGGACGCTGACATAACAGAGTTAGGTAATGAGAGTTCCAGTCATTACAGGGGCGGATCCGGGATTTTTTTTAGGAGGGGGTGCACTCGTCTATTGCTCTACTTCAACACCAATAAACCACGTAGTTTTTTTGCAGAATACCAGTTGTATTAGAAAACTGCAGGTCATCTCAGGGGGGGGGGGGGGGGGGGCCCCCCGGCCCCCCCCCCCTNGAACAGTTTTTGCTATTTTTTCTTAAGTTCAACTAAGGAAAAACCAATGTCGGGCGAATCCACATGTAATCGATGTTCTTTAATGCTCATGGACCCAAACAACAACACTACAAATCAGGGGCACCCAACGAGGATATAGTTCAAAACCACTTAACATAGCATTGTTGAACGTATTTTAGTATTCAAACGGTAGATATAGGCATATTTTTATCCGCTAAAAACTTTTGATCTGTTCGGATTTCCTAGCTGAAAGTCTAGTGATCCGAAAATTATAGGGATAAAAACTTACCTTCTCGAAAATTTCAGCCAGGAAAAGGCTCCCGAAAATTCTAGGTGGCCTTTTTTAGGGTCAAGATCCGTTAAAAATGGGTAATTATACCATTTTGTAGATGTTCGAAAATCCTAGGAGAGGCAGGCAAGCAAGAAATTTTACAACAAATGTTCCGAAAATTCTAGATCTCAAATCGTCTTCCGAACAGATATTTTCCCGAAAATTGCCGTTGGGTGCCCCTGATGAGGCCGAAGGCCGAATGGGCTATTGACTCAGAGGCCATGAGGGTGAGAGGAATAATTATTTTGGTAAAATCCAACTAGTTGGTCAAAAATATCGAGACAAAACAACTTTAGCTAATTATGTATCGGTCAAATCGAAGCTTCAACATGCCTCCCCCGGGCATACCGCGGGCATTTGACACCTTTGCCGTCCCGGGGAGGAGGGAATTTGATTATCAGAGTCTTCCAGGGGGTGGGGAATTTGATCCCCATGCTTTAGGGGTTGGGTATTTGAACTGCACCCTCGACTTCATGTAAAATCTGTGGCGTGGCGAGCTATGGGGGACGGATGTTAGAGGATTTTCGTGGAAAAGATTGTGCCTTTGTGGCCAATTGGTTACGAGGAAAGGGCTTAAACAAGCTTTGTGCCTTATTTGAAGTATTTAAATTTTAAAAGTTTTAATATTGTATGTAAGTATTTTATTGTTGTGTTTACAATGAAATAGAAATACCTATAGCGGCGATTCAATACAGCAACATAAAATAAAATAAATTAAAAAGCTCAGGTCAACTACCTTGACCTACTGCAAGTATGTTAATTAATAAGGTGAGCGATGATACATATCACTGAAATGATCATGATGTACGTAGTAATCTCAATAGGTGGGATCTTTTTTTATAGAACGCTTTGTATGTTGCATGACGAAGAAAAGCTGAGCATTCAGTGACCATGTAGCAGCGATTTCCGCCGCTTTGCACGAGACTTCTTTTCGTAGTAAATACGCTTACAGTGTTTCTCAGTTTTTGTTATATTTATAAAGATTTTGTTCGACAACTGAAGGCGTTTCCACCGTCCATCTGTCATTTTTGTGCCTGTGAATTTCCCCGGGGTGGGGGCATTTGATCACCTGAATGGACCCCAGTGTGGGGAATTTGAACGGCATTTTGGCCCGGATAGGGAGGAATTTGAACAACAATTTTCAAAAAAGTCAAATGCCCGGGGGGTTGCCCGGGGGGGGCATGTTGAAGCTTCGATTTGACCGATACAGTAAAGCTAGACTTTAATCCTTTTTTGCCGCCAAAAAGCCGGCGCTTTTTGCTACTAGTGGGCTAAAACATATAGCCTAGTAGTAGCTCAACCAATCAGAACGCAGCATTGATAATAGACCACTAGATGGATTTTACTAAAGTAAGATTTTACATTTTTCAGCTTGCTCCTGATGCTCCTCAGCGCTCTGTACGCATTGCGTTCCTAGAATACTCGTGCGACCGACTGAACATGCGCAAACAGCTGAATTCAAAATGGAGCTCAAATGGCGCAGACAAGAGAAAGTGGTTTACAGCTTTTATAGCTACAATATTTTTTAATTCCTCCTACAGGTTCGGTAGAAATGTTTCATAAAATAAGATCTTTTATCCATGAGGCTGTAGAAGCGGTGAGTTTTTTTATTTTTACCATTTACAGAGATCATTCGCTAAAATTCTATTTTCTGGATCTCAGTTGTGAGGATTTCCTGACTGCAAATTTCTTAAATATTCAAAATAAGTTGTTATAATAAACATTTCAGCTTGCTCCTGATGTCCCTCTACAAGAAACGTTTGTATTCCATTGGAAAGCTATCACTAATTATTTTATAGAGGCCACAGGTAACGTTAAAATCAATGTTGATATGTAGTACAAGTACATGTAGCTCGTTCTTTGTTTATTTACACATGCTTACGTGTTTAATTGTTTTACCTATGCATATAAATTTCGTGTCTGGCAGATGAGAAAGTTCCCGTACAGTCCACTAATATTCCATATCACCTGGAACAAATGTTGGACATTTTACGACATGAAGAAGATGACCAGAATGGTGGTGCAACGGTAATCTTTTAACAATGTATTTTTAATTCCAAAATGAAAGTGCCGGTGGTAATTTTATTTCTGTTTATCTCGTAGGTATCTTTTATCTTTAATTTGGCTCATGCATGTGCTATAAAATGTAAAAGTAATGCTTATTTATCATTAATCACTTCCACCATATGGTGTAGAACACACAACAGAGCGGGGCTCCAATTTGAGTGTGTCCTTACAGATAACCCAACCGGCCCAGGAGAGGTTGGCTACACCACCAGGATCTACATCCTAGAAAGTCTTACTGTTTGCAGATGTCATTGAAAAGGCAGTACTTTCTCATCAGTTATTTAAAGACCCCGAGTGTTGGTCCGGCTGGGGTTTGAAACCACGACCTCCCACTCAGCAGACTGGAGCTCTGCCAACTGAACTAACCAGGCAGCGGTTATGCTATATGGCTTAGTGCTAACACTCTTCCTTCTTTTTCATTTCATGTCATGCAGCCTTGTGTTTCATTATCTACAGTGTATTCCTGTCCTTATAATACCGGGTATACCGTATTTATTCGATTAACCGCCCTGGGTGCTTATTAAATTGTTGGACCTTGAGAGTGGGCGCTTATTCGAGGCTGGGCACTTATTAAATTTTCACCATTTTCAGCAAGTGTAGTATGTTTATTTTGCAACAAAACGCGAAGAAGTATCAAAGCAAGGTTTCTGTATAATACTCTGAAGAAAACTTCGTCCTCGGGGAAGTCTCTTATTAGAATTTATTCACTCAAGTGGTTGGGGTGGGGGTGAGCGCTTATTTGAGTTTGATTGGGAGGAGGAGGGGGTGGGTGCTTATTCGGGGCTGGGCGCTTATTAACTTTTTCTGCCTTTAGGATGGGCGCTTATTCGAGGTGGGTGCTAATGCGTGGTTGGGTGCCTATTCGAATAAATACAGTAATTTGGAAGGGCTAGAATTTTTATTGTCAAAGTTCCCAGCACCTACTGACTGTAGAAAATATTATGTCACTCAAGCTCACTGGTAATGCTGACAGACATGGGTTATTGGGCTGTTAAACATTGATTGTCTGCATGTCCCCAGGAGGGAGGAGGTTTTCAAGAGTCACTTCTGAAAGGGAAAGACTCGTATTTTTTGGACTGAGTTGTTTGAAAGACAATTAGCACAATTCCACAGTTAGTTACCGTGACAACTCATATAATCTGTTTGCTACGGTGGTCCACTAGTTCCACTGCCTCACATTTTAAAGCAACTCTGTGTCTACATAAAAACTCATCTGCACCATGCATTTGTTCCTCTTTTTCATACAAGTAATAAGCCAATTGTTTATAAACTGACCTCGTCCGTTAAGCCTTCTCCGTAGAAACACGCATCAAGGATTGAAAGTTCTTGTTTTCTGATAGGCTATTGAATGTAACCAATCACAGAGCATTTCGATTCTCTTCTGTTTGAAGCTAGAAGTGTGATTTTAAGGAACACATTTTGTGAAAATTTTAGCATTTTCTTTTATAAAGAGTTGGAGGAGTTTCCTAAACAAGTGTGCACAAAGATTCCTTACACTCCCTCTATAAAGTTGGCCATCATCAAAATTATTGCAAGAAATGGCGGGGAAGACCCAGCAGAGGAGTACCTTGATTTCATGGCGGTCTTTTCGTTTTCCAATTTGGTGCCCTAACGGAAAGACCCTGAAGACGATTGATGGGTATGGTGTGGTGGAGAATGGAGGTTTTTTAGGGGGGAGAGGGGGTGAGTGGCAGGCAGTGGTTGCAGGAATAGGGCTTGAGTAGGTTCATTTCTACAGGGAATCATTTTTGTATGATTTTGTATGGAAGAGGTTCGTCTCCAGGGAAAAAAGTGTGTTTCCATGAAAAAGGCTCATTTTTGTATAGGAGGCATATTTCTAAGGATGAGGGATTTTTCTACAGAGGAGGCGTGTTTCTACAGTGGAGACTTATTTTACGGCAGAGGTTGCGTACAATTCTACAGAGCGGGCTTATTTCTGCGAAAAGGTCAAATCAAAAGCAATCGGCTTATTGCTTGTATGAAAAAAGAGGAACCAATGTGTGGCGCAGATGAGTGTTTATGTACAGACAGCGTTGTTTTAAAATGTGAAGCAGTGGTGCTAGCGGGCCACTGCTTCCTCGTCAAACCAGGATTAGAGCGAACCAGGTTTTAAACAGCTCAGTTGTGAAGGGTAAAATTCAGTTGTGACTCAATAGGGGTGAGATTGTTCTTGGTGCTCAGATAGTAGAGCGCAGGCAGAAAATTGACAAGGAAAATAAAACAAGGGGAGACTATGTAGGGAAAAGGGGAGGGAAGGTTCCTTCGATCTAGCCCCAGTCTTCTCTCGTTTTCCCCCCTTGTTTTCCCTGTGCATGGTCTAACTCGCTCCCCACGATCTAAATGCTGTACTCTGCTATCTGAACACAAGGAACAGGCTAGAGGTAGGAAGATAAATGATATAGGAATGACTGATAAAATGAATGGCGATCTTAATGTCATGAGCAATAGCTTGAAAATTGGTGTTTTACTAGCTAGACTGCTTCTAGACCTCCAGTTCAATTTCTGATCCAGCCTATTCCTTCTTTATGAGCTGGTAAAATAAGCTTATGTGAAATTTTTATGTCTAAATTATAGGGGCCTTGTTTGGAGTACTTGTTGCAGCATAAAATTTTAGACACCCTTCACACACTTGGAAGAGCAGATGTAAGAGTTAACTTTGTTTCCAAATACTTAAACAATATGTGAAATAATTCAGAAATTTCTTGAGCAGAACTATTAGTAGATATTAATTTTATCCTCATAAATTAATTACAGTAATGTATTGCTTAAATTTCATTACATAGGATATTACAGAATTATAAATGTGTATGGTCTCTCCATTCCATGGTCAGGTCATCCCAAGCCAGATCATTGCATTTTTTTGGAAAAGAATAGATGGTTCCACAGTTTCAGTATAAAACTCGATATCAAGTGTGCTTTTTGGTCTTCTTGGCTTGGAGAACAAGGTATATGCATGAGTAATGCTCTTGTTTCTGCTTGCCGTGACTTAAACTTGTAAAAAGTTCTGACTATAGTATTGTGGAACGATCTGACTATTAAGGGGAATGGTCTGACTATGGAACAAAGTGACCTCTCCAGATACCCAAATAAAATGTAAAATGAAGGCATCTTCTGGTTTACAGTGTACATTTTTATTAAATTGTATTATTTGATTTAATTTTTATTGTACAGCGTTTACTTTTATGATATCTTGTTCTTTCTTAGTGTCCACCTGGAATGAAGCAACAGGTGTTATTGTTTTTCGCAAATTTGCTGGCGAAAATGAAACAGCCTCTTCTACCACACATCAGTGTGTACCGACCTGTTCATGTAAGTAATCATGGTAGATATCAATAATTATTACTGCTATATTTAACCTTAGGTTACAACAACGTGATGTCAGATAACCCAGGGCTAACTAAGGAACCTATCATTTACAACATTTTTGTAATCGTCAAAGCAACTTCTCAGCTGTCAAAGTTTTGTCTTTGAATCAAGCACCAAGAATGCTCATCTTGATTTGTGAACGATGTTGTCTTGAGGATACATGTAATCATTTCTGGTTATAACTTTAAGTGCTGTGAAGAAATTTGATCTTTGTTTGCTAATACTTGCTACTCCCTTATATTACATTTTATTTCGCTTGAGTATTTATTACAACATTTAGGTCAGTTATTATAACTGACCTAAATTAAGGGATGATAGTGAGTTCAGGACAATGTAATTTCCCTTAATGTAAGCGTGATTGTAAAAGAACTTTGAAGTTTGTAATTTAAAGTAATCCATACTCCCCCATGGAGGGCTTAAAGGTTTGGCCTGTTCCCCACTCAACCCTTCATCCTTTTCTTTTAAAGATTTATATATATCGTTATGACCTTGCTCCCCGTTGAAATTTCCATGACTCTCCATCCATACAGGGATTTTCTGAGACACTCAATATAATTTGCTTGGGACAAGAGAGAATGCTTAAAGTATAATTATTTTGTGAAGTCCAATTGTACTTGCAGTTTTAACAGCGTGATATTTTGTTTGTTAGGCTTCAGTTTTTGCTTTACTGCTCTATCTAACTTTTTTGCCTCAGAGATTAATCAGATTATGTGGAGAAGTCAAGGCTGCCCCATCTGAGAATGAAGAAATCCAGTTTCTGTGTGTTGTGTGTGCAAAATTACGACAAGATCCATACTTGGTGAACTTTTTCCTTGAGGTGGGTCACTGCATGCTGTGCTGATTATGACACTTTGTCTATTTGTTTGTTTGTTTGTGTTTACAATGTGAACCAATCACCATTAATGTAATACAGTCCCCCCTCCACTAATGGTGACTTCTCCACATCTGCCATCTTTACAGTGGCCACTTTTTTGGTGAATAGTTCATACACTGACTCTTCTTTAAATGGCCACTTTCTTGGCCAAGCTACATGATATTACTTTTACAAATCTGAGTTTGAAATCATTTTACTGGTAACCATCTTTCTCAAAGCCTTTGTCAATAATATTACTGTAAAAATGAAGTTAATTTTATTGTACAAGTTAACATTAATATTGTAATGGAGATTACTTTATCCATACATACGTATTGTGCATATTGAGCTTACTTTCAGTCGTTCATATTGCTCCAATAAACAAAGTTAATTTTATTTAATTTCAAACAGCAATCAATTGCTTTGTTTTTATGAATAACAAATAATGCTGTCCTTGTGCCATAATTCATTCAATAAAATTTAACTGTCATACATGTAATTTCATTTTGTAATAATACATTATTTATCTTGTTCTTAACCAATAAAACTTATCATCTTCATAGAAATACAGCTTAAATTAAATACCTCATTACTTGAATTTTTGGCGACATGTTATTTTACCAATTTTGAAAAATCCTTATAATTGGCACTTTGATTTTGCGAGTTTTCATAACTTTAGAACATAAGACACTCAATTTTCACAATTTTACAAAATGAAACTTTGGTGAATTAAGATAGGTGTAGAACATTTATGTGATAAAATTATAAATGTCAATAGCTTCGATTCATTTCAATCAAAATCATCAACATTCTGAAACTTAATTTTGAACAAAACAAATGAAGCTGCAGCCATAATGTCATATGTTATGCTGTCCTCACTCACTTTTAGGTACAATATCACACAAAGTCGGTGATACACATCATAATCAACCATCAAATAGTATACATGTATGTGTGTGAAACAGACCAGATGGCTGAATTTCATATTTTACTCAATTATTTTAATTTAGCGACAATTTAAATTTAGCAATCATTTTTAGAAAAGTCACTAAATCAAAGTGTCGCTAAAATTTTATGTAATAAGGTAGCCGTATGCATTCCAGGCAGAGAACATTAAACATCCTGATTTGTTGTTCACTTTTTTGTTTTCAGTCATTTCCATTCCGTACCTCTATGTGTGTACTTCCACTCTCACTTTGCATTGTTTGGAAATTCAATGCATATCCTATTGAATTTTCTTTTTATCTTCAATTTCAATTAAGAGTGAACTTGCTTGTCCCTACACATTCATCCCTCTTGGTTTTACAGTGATTCAGCCTTCTTGAAAAACAATAATGTATCTTTCACAAGCAGTCACTTCCTCCAAATAATCATTGTCACTTTCATACAGGTTAGTCATCAACAGTCCTATATTTAGGGCTACACTGACCCACAGAGGGTCATATTCAACCTACACATGACTTGACCTGCCCTGTTCCTTTTCAATCCAATCATTAGGTTGAGACTTTCATTCATGACATCAACACCATCTGGTACATGTATTTGAGAAGTGGTCAATCTGATCACCTTATTATTTAAGATGGAATCCATCAGGAAATTGAGTAATTTTAATTTTCAGTTGACAAAAACCTTGTACCAAAATAATTTAATCAATATCGTCTTCTTTTTAACATTTTTCAAGAGCTATAGATATACCAATAATTAGTTAACTGTAATAACACCAAAGACTATTTCTCATGGGAGCCCGAGAAAATAAATGTCATTAATTTCACAAGAATTGTGAAAACACAGGTAAAATTCTGAAAATTTCATGTGCACAGTAAGGTGTCATTTTTGTCAAATCTGACATTTGTTTTCTCGGGGTTTTAATAGAAAATTTTTGTTGGTGTTATTAAAGATAACTAATTACATCTATAGCCCTTTAAAAATATAAAAAAGAATGCAATGTTGTTTAAATTGTTCTGGTACAAGGTTTTTGTCCACTGAAAATTAATATTACTCAATTTCCTAATGCATTCCATCTTAATCTGGTGTCAACTGTGTTCTCTTTTCCTGTTATTAGACCAACTCTGCTAGAACTACCCATGTCTTGCCTTCTGGTGAGCCACTGGTATGGACCTAATCTTTGTCAATGCTCTTTGTCTATACTATTTGTCTACCTCTGCCAATTTTTGCCTCATCCATGGTGGCAAAAATTAATGTTTCTCACCTTTAACCACTTGGTTTTCTCGAAATTGTAGTTATAGTTTTGAGAGGCATGTTACATTATCTCTACCAGAACAGTGAAAATTTTTCACAGTGATAAAATGTGATAAAAAAATGTGACAGTGATATATCTGTGTTACCCTAAAAAAATGAAAAGGACAGCTGACTTTGAGCCCATTGAAACATTCAAACAAGCTATTCATGTCATGACTGTGTTTAGTACCATTAATAAATTGTCACTTTCAAGAGTACTAAAGACATCATCAGCTACTGCACTATGCCATCATGTGCATTTAGTGCATGTCTGTATAGCCTGAGAAAACAGCTGACATTTTGCAATGCCGTCACCAATGTCTGTGGAAATTGCACAGAAATTCCATACTGATGATGTGTCACTATCCAGGTCTGGATAGTGCTTCTGATTGGTTGAAGCAAATTTCCTTAGCAGCATGCCCAATCAGAAGCACCACCCGACATCTGTGACAATAACATGTACAGCAGTTCTGAAGAGTAAAAAAAAAAACAATAATAAAATTATTGCCCTGCACTTGCCTAGAGTAACGCTGAAACTGGGTTATGTTATTCAAATAGACTACAGCTTAGGTTAAGAGACTGCATTTTACTATCATTTTTCTAATCTTGTTTATAAAATTCTAATTTAATTTATAAAAATCAATAAATAAAAGAACCAACCTGAAGAAATCAGAATATATGTCAAACTACTGACAAATGTTAACAAGTAAGCTAAACTAATGTTAATTCTCCTGAAAGTATTATTAGTTTTCTTAATATTTTGGATAATGCTCTCTCCTTGATTAAAATTCTGCTGCAGTTAGTTGTATACTGATGCTACCCCTAAAATAACATTTAGTGTTTACCTATAGCTATAACAGCTGAGTTATCAGATGTGTAAAGCCATTCCTGTTTTTTTTTTTTTTAATTCCAGCCTTCTGCAAGGGTTAACTATTAAAAGGAGTTGCCAGTGCTTACACTGTGTCTGGCAAAATATGTTGCATGGTGCATAATTTATGTTTACTTTAAAGTAAAAGAACTGTCTATCACTCTTCGAGCATTAATTGCTCGGACTACAATAGAAGAAACTACAGGAAAACACCAGTACAAATTAATTAAAGCATTTGTTTTTTAAACTAATGTTTTAGTCACTAGGCACAAGTCCATCAGGTACCCATTCACCGTCGGAAGAGTTGCACCCTCCACCTGTTAAAGCCCAAGGACGTGACAAGCCAGATTATACCTTGGTGAATTCTCTCCTTAACTTATCCAAGAGTGAGGTGATTTACACTGGATGTTCTTTTTGGGTTTTGGCCTTGGGCTATTATACTTTAACTGATTCTTGTTTTTTTCCCTGCAGGACAGTAGAATTGCTGTGAAGGCATGCGAAGGACTATTGCTTTGTGCATCTCTTCCTGAAGACCATGCAGCCACTGTGATTATCCTTTATACTCCATTCTGTGAAGTTATGGTTAGTATCCAGCTGATGTTACTGTATTACCTTCACCAGTCTTGCAAAACACTTGATTAAGAAGAAAGTTCTGGAGTAAAAGTAAATGGTATTAACTCAAGAATTCATTTGCTCTGTCTTAGGTCAGGGTGCAAAGAAAGTCAGTTTTACACCTTGCCATTCAGGCAAGCTGTAGTTAGAATGCACTAGCCGAAAAGTCATTTTGACTAGCCCGATGATGAGCAGGGTTGATAACAGTTCTTTTGTGATTATAATTCCTTAAAAAGTTTCAATTGCCAGGCAGGCAAGTTAAGAACAGAATTCACTAGCCCAATAGTAAAATCCACTAGGCCTGGGCTATCCAACACGACTTTCTTTACACACTGTAGGTGCACTGTTTGCATCTGTAACCCACCCTGCAAGCTGAGCCTTGATCCTTTTGTCTTCTTGGTCAAGGAGGAGAAAAGGTGTCTCTGCCTGAATTGTGTCAAGCCTTTGAAGTTGCCGCAGCCCAAACTTCTGGATTAGTCAATCTTGTTCTCTCTCGTCAAACTAGTTTTTTTGAGTAAAAGCATCCATTTATTGATAAACCGATGGTCATAACCATGCCTGCTGAGGCAAGCGCACAGCTATTAGGTCTGGGTTCAAAACTGTATCCTAGCAACATTCCACACACGCTTAACAAAGTTTTTACCTGATTTATGCAGAGTCTTTCTCGAGAATGCTGAAATCAAACAAGCGTAAAAAAGGCTCTGCTGGCAGGAGGCATGTCTGTAACCCTGTCAGAGTGACAGACAATAATTTGGTTGTAGCTTTGGTTGTAGCTAAAAGCACAATGGAAGGGATCTATAGACATTTTTGTCACTATAATAGTGAAACTGTATTCTGATATATGATTTTTATTAGTTTAATGCATCCCTAGTTCACTAAAATAAGTGGAGCTTACATGTAAGCACAGTCCAAACCTGAGTTATTCAAAAGGTGGATAATGCTAACCAGTGGATAAAGCATGTTGGTTTTCCTAAATCCACTGAATAGTGATTTATGTGGTAAACAGTCTTACCTAACCTTCACCCAGGCCTGTGGTTTGAACTTGTTAGCCACCATAGCTTTGTAAGTAACAAGTTTTGTCTACTAGCAAGATTTAGTACTTTCAGTGGCTTTTTTTTGTCTTTAGGTCACAGAAAAAGCTGAGTTCTATTAAAGCAATATTAAATCTGATCACTGACATTTCATTTATGTTTTTATAGTCAGACAGATTGAAAGTGTTATTTGAACATTTACCCCAGAATATGGAGCCAATAGATATATCAGCTATTGCTGCCAAGTGGGGGTATGTTTGGTTTACTTAGTATGGTAACCAATGGATAAAGTTTAATGGAAGAGGTTTAGGCATTCTAGAATCAATTTTGGAGTTATTGGTTTCTAAGAAGAGCCTCAGAAGTAGAAGATCATGGGCTTGTTAATGGATTGATTCATTGATTTTTTCGACTGACCAAGTGACTGGTCAATTAATTGCTAGTGATTTAGCGATTGATTGATTGATTGATTGATCAATCAATCAATTGATTGATTGATTGTTTAATCAACATTGATAAGTAACTATAGATCTGATCTTTGGCAAACACTTTGAATTTCACCCAATCTCTTAAGTGTTATTTACAGGAACTTAACTTGCCTGGATTATCTGGGGTCTTTTGAGGCACATAGTGTATAAGTTTTAAGACCATAAAAACCCAAGTTAGCATGTAGTAATTACTAATCTGTGATAGTTGTCAGTACTCTCACCATTATTCAATACATACTGTGGGTAAAGAACTTATCAGGACTCCACTAGCACAACAGGGTTTATCTGATTGAGAAATTTACTGTACCATTGTTCCACAGGCTTGATCATCAGAGCGATGATGAAGATATGCTGTCATTTCCTGGAAAGAGGCAGTTAATTTCCTTTCTCTCCTGGTTGGATTATGTTGATCAGCTCTCAAAAGAAGCACACAAGGTGTGTTTCTGTGTGTACTAAGTTGTTATCATTTAAAAGCTTTTTTAAGCAACAAAATGGGCCAAGCTGTTCCAAGTCTAGTTATTTCTTATCCAGACTTAACTCTTTAAGCTCTAATGTCCACATACAAACTCATTATACCGATTTCCATGTACATATTTCCTTTTATAAAATAACTAAGATAGTATGCACGCTCTGATTGGCAGAGAGGCGTGTTTGCATGAGAGTATGTAAACATGGTTGTGACGTCAAGATGTTTTGCTTTTCGTGCGCTAATCACGCAAGCACAAATTTGAAAAAGGTTTTGAGTTGAAAAACTCGACAAATTTACTTTATTTACCCATTTCCTTGTCGGTTGAAACTTGAAAAATCTTTAGAAACATGCTGTGTCAATTTTTTTTTTGCCTGAGCTGATATTTTAAGCGAGAAAAACCCGTATTTTGGAAGGCATCTTTTTTGCAAAACAAAGACTGATTGCGCGTGCAAGCTTCGTGTACAAGACTTCACTACTGGTAAGAATTTATCTTTTAATCAATGCTCTAAACAAGAGAGTTTTGCTTTTTTTTCTCAGGAAAGTTATTTTATAAAAGCAATAGAAAACTTTTTTCCTGTGTTTGCATATCCTGATATAAACACTCCAGGGGTTGGGAGAATTCTTGACAGTTATGCAAACCCGAGACGAACTATCTCGATTTCTCCCAACCCCTCTCATGTTTATATCAGGCTACGCAAACACGGACAACGTTTCCTATTGCTTAACTTTTTACAGAATTAGTCAACATTATTTTTCCAAAGACCAAGGGCAAGGCATTTTTCCTTTGGTGATTCCTAACTCTCATAACCTTTGTCTTGAAAATAATATTGATGTTGGTCACTCTTAGGACTTAACCCTCTAAGCCTCAATATTCAAAGTATAAATTTTCCAGACTGATCTCCACATATTTCCTTAAAGAATAAGTTGAGAAAATTTGTTTGCTGATCAAAGCCATTCCCATCAGGTGATCATTTTATTAACTCTCACAACATTTTCTCTTGATTATGTGATGATATTGTTAGGAGATAATTGACTTTGGTCAGTCTTGGGACCTAAAGGGTAAAGGGTTAAATGTAGGGTGTGAAGTGAAGTGAAGTGACACCTTTATTTCAAGAGGGTAACACTTAACAGTTTGGATGTAAACAGAGACTCTATAAGTGGTGCAGGGATATTTTTAGTATTAAAAGAAATCAAAGTCTACTCTCCACTCTCCTGATGTCTGTCTCCTTTTCCCTTTTCCATAGCTTGTAGCCAAAGCTCTTGCTGTAGGAGTGAGAGAAAGATTTCTTCAACCAGTTATTGAACCTGGTCTCTTTCAACAGTAAGTTGTGATTATCATGGCCTGTAAAAATACAGAAGGAGAATGAAGAAAATAATAATAGTAATAAAATTAATCTTTAACAAGGAGGTCTACATCAAAAAGGGGTTTACAGAAGGGTCCTAAAAATCATGAAGTTAAAAACTTAAACCATGTTAAATGATAAGTTTGCCTATACTTAGCAAAGCACATTCTAAGCCATTCAATTTGGCCAAGGCTATAGCCTAGATAAAAAATAGTAATTTCGTCAACCTTATGGGTCTTTGCATATCCTCTGTTTACCTTCAGTGATAGTCATAGACTGAAATATATTATTATATTTGAATAATGTCTGATTGACTGCCAGCCCTGACGTATGTCTTACAATTTTAGGTCAGAACTAGGTGTTATTACAATAACAGCATTATTAAGAAGATGCATACAGGCGGTTACCTCACCACAGCTACTGCAAGGTGTGTGTATCTTTGGTTGATGACCATTGAGTATTATTTTAGTTGCGTACAGTGCACTGTAATCACTTACTCAATAATGATTGAAACAATTCGAGTAACTTACCTTCAAAAATGAAAATGTTTCCCATAATACAGTTGACTCCCGATAACTCGAACCTCGTGCTATCTCACACCAAAATCGATTTCTCCTGGATTTCCTTCATACATTCACTGCAGTTTTACCCACGGTACCTTGAACCCATGATAACTCGAACCTCTTGCTAACTCGAAGTAATTTTTGTTTCCCTTCAGATCGGTTCTTTGTAATTTAACCCTTGATAACTCAAACCATGTTTGAAGCATGTGACAAGTTGGAAATTAAAAACAGTGTACTGAAGTCCTAAACATTCAATTTATTCCCAGTCATTTTCTTCGAACTCCCAATAACTTGAACTGCCATAGCCTGCATGGCTGGTGGGATTAGGCTAATTTGTTTTTCGGTGGCAGAGCCTCATTAAGATTGAGAGCAAGTCAGATTCAAAACTCATAAGAAATGTAGTAGGAGGTGATTTTCCCTTGCGGCTTCCCCACTTGCTTTGTATCAAGAAGGTACCCCGGGCACAACAATCCCGCCAGCTACACAGGCTAGAACTGCCGATAAGTCGAACTTTTTTCGATTTCCCTTGAAGTTATCAAGAGTCGACTGTATTTATGTTCAGTTGCTTGTGTGCCCTGTAACCTGCTGTTTTTTGTTAAGTTAACAAAACATTGAATCACCCTGACTCCGATTCAAAGGAACTTGAAACCTAATTTGTTATCCTTTAAATTATTTTCCCTAGAAATGTGCATCTTTCTCCTTGGTGAGGGGACAACACCAGAGGTTCCAACTCATGTAGGAGACCACAAATTAAGGCAAACACTAATCCAAAGATGTGATCACTTATCTGATGAGGTAATTGAATGAAGGAATCTTAAAATAAAGTGAATAACACAGAAGGTCCAAAGTTTGTATCATTTTGGTCACACCATTTTCATTTTTATAGAAATCGTTTCTGGGACATTACCTTCATACAATATTGTACATGGACAATGGTCTCCAATTTTACAGACATTTTAACTATTACCCTGTAAGCTTTCTATAAAATGTGGCTGACTATATTTATTTGTTTTTATTATTTTTTGATGTTTTTTCACTATATTTACAAACTGCAGTAATAGTTTTATAATAACTTTTAATTAAACTATTCATTACAGCAATTTGTAAATTATTCTAAAAACAATAAACTACTGCCAGAAAGATGTTTAATTTAGATGCAGTCACAGGATTCTTGTCCACACTGTCTATCTGAGCCACAACAGGAGAAATAATTAAGGCTAAAATAATCCCAGCTAAACTGATTTAAATTTATTTTTTGAAACTCACTTCTGAGTCCCAGCTATAATGCCAGTGCTCAATAAGACCTATCCTGATGCCTGTGGCAGGTATAGATTTTCCTGTCAGACAAGTATTTTTTATGCACAGAACTAGCCTGAAGAGCAAAGTCCCATGCAAGTCATCTTCAAACTAAATTGTAAATATATTAGACAAGGATGCAACTTCCCAGGGCAAGCAAAATTTGAGGACAAGTGTAAAATATTCAAATTCCTTCAAGCTTTATTAGTATTGACACTTAATTCTCTGTTGTAGATCAGCATAGAAACACTGAAGCTGTTCGAGACTCTACTCAACAAACCCTGTGATGTTATTTTGAATAATCTTGTGCTTCGGAATCTAAAAAGTAGGAAGTATTACACTACGCCCCCAGTGCCCAATGGAGATACTAGTGCTGCAAGCAATGGACCTGCAGTGGCTGATAAACTGGCACCTCCTTCCCCTCACACAGGATTCCCACCATCACCAACATCACCTTCAACTCCACCACTTACACCAGATGGTCTGGGTTCTCCACAGATTGTTGAAAATGTTGACAGAGATGAAGTGGAACAAGTTGTAAATAGGTACATGTACAAAATAATGTAAATTTTGGTGAACTACAACTTTCTTGTTGTCATGCTTTTGCTTCAGTACACTCGTATTATAACATTAATAGTATTGTAAATAATTTACATGCCTCTCGTTAGTCCCAGGTCAGCAGGGGCACCAAACGATTGTTTTCTGTATAATATCTGTTCAGAGAAGCAAATATGACCTAGAATTTTTATTGTTTGAAAATTGCTTAGAATTTCTAGATGACTGCTCCATTCATGTACAGTTTTTGAATCTTATCTAATTAATTTTCCATGATGTACTCTCTCCCCAGGTTAGGCTATTTTTTGTAGAAAAAGGAAACCTAAAATTTTTGGCTTCAAAAGTGTGATGGAGAGAAGAATCAGAAAAATTCTCACTTTCGTAAAACGTTAACTGGCATCTAAAATTTTCTGGAAAATAATACTGAAACCCTGGTAATTTCGAAAAGACTCAAGTTCCCTTAGGATGACAAAACAGACTCAAATTTTATAGGGCTGCTTAGAATGCATTAATTTCTAGAGATCTAAAAGTACTCTGGATAGTGTAAAAAGTGTTTTCAACGTTTTTATGAGGAGATGGAAAGGAGATGGTCATTGTAATTGAGAACCCTTGGATCAGCGTATTCTTAAGACTGTGTGTGTTTATGGCAGTGATTTTTCCAAAAACACCCATTTTATCTCCAAAATGACCTGTCTGAGCAACTAGTTCTGCTGTTTGGAAAGTGGCCTTAGCCTTAGCATGCGCTTACCGGTAAGAATTTACATATCGATAAAACTGTTATGATTCATGAGTCAATATAGCTTGTTTTTATCATGGATACAAGTTTTTGTTCACCTGTAAATTGATAGTGAGTGTGCCAGAGTCATTTTACTGAAAAATGGAAAGAATAAACAAACTTTTCCATCCATCATCAAACACAAAACAACTGATTCAGCTACAAGAGTTCTTCAATGGCAAACCTTTGAATGGTGTGATTTGTAGGGGACACATGCAAGTGACAGCACACTTGCAACTGAAAGGGAACATTCACTAAAAAATTATCAGTATTATGTGAATATTGTTGTATACTTTGTCTAGTTTAACTCATAAGAAACATTCTCTAAACTAGAGATGTCTATCAGTTTTATTTCCTTAGTACCTGATGAGATAAAGACATCAGCTTTAACAGGAGACACTGGTTATGACACTTACTTAAGAGATGCACATAGACAGGTACTGCTATACCCAAAAAAGCAAAATAAAATTATCCTTTTTACTACGATAGCTGTCACAGAGTAAAACCCCATTTACACGTGCTAAAAAAATCGGCATGGCACACCAAATTTTTGGCACCGTGCTGACGATTTTAAGGCACAGCATTCCCAATTTTCGACATGTAAAGGTATCGGTCCCAAATGTAATATGGCACCAGTGCTCAAAATTTTAGGGGTGCTGAGACTACCTCCCGGAGGTAGTCTCGGCACGGGTAAACGAGGTACGGTGCCAAAAATTTGGCGTGCCATGCCGATTTTTTGAGTGCGTGTAAATGGGGTTTAAGTATACAAATGACAGTGTTGAATGTTTGTTTTTCGTAGTGCAACCAACGTGCAATTCAGACCAGCACTTTTGAGTGGCCATCAACTCCAGTCCCACCTTCTGGTAAGACACTTCAGTATATCTTAAGCCTCAAAGTCCAAATAATACAGTCAAACCTGTGTACAACAGTCACCCTTGGGAAATGGCAAGGTGATAGTTATATACAGGATGACCGCTATATACAGATCAGCTTTGCAGGAAATATAAGGCAACTGAAAATTTTGGGAAGTTGTCCAGTGACCATAATATACAGGGTGACTGCTATACACAGGGAAGTTATGTACAGGTTTGACTGTAGTTATCACATCAATTTTCACCCAGCAATATCACTACATAATCAAGACAAAAGGTTATGGAAATTGATAAAAAAAATCACCAAAAGGAAAATGCTTTCATTGACCTTAATCAAATTCTCCCAACTTATTCCTTAAGAAAATATAATTATGGAGATCTGTCTTGAGAATTTTTATTTGGGTAGTGGGGGGTTAAAACTATACAAATAAAAACTCAAAATACTATAAGTGAGAAGCGGTACTACACAATCAAGGAATTGCTATTTTAGTCACTTATTTCTGGGTTTCCCAAACATTCAACTTGTCCACTAAGAAGTTTACTTCTACGTCTTACCTGCTGCTCTCAAAGTGAGAAGCAACATAAAAACATGCAGTAGAAGACACATGTGGAAGCTTGTTAAGAGGAGTAAACATATTATATCCGGAATGTAGACATCACATGTTACTGTTCTTGGTCCAGATAACTGTGATTTATGTTCCACCTTAGATTTCGAGGACAGTAGAGAGGTATTCTATGAGGGTGCATTCTTAAACATGCTCTTTAAGAAACTACAGAGACTTCTAGATCAGGTTTGTAGTGATAAGTAATAAAATTTATTAATAAGTAATATAAATTTTTTTTCTGCCAAGCATTTCTTCCAGTTGCGTTTAGCATAACATATCTCAAGAGAGTTGCTTCACAAATTAAACCCAGCCAATAGGCAATATGTATGCAGTGGCCCAGCACTCATTGCTCCCTGCCTCTAGTGACATATTTTTGCAGAAGTCTCAGAACAATCTCGTATCGGCTGCTTTTTTTTCCTTTTTTTTATTGGTCATTTCATTTTGCTGGTTGAAGCACACTCAAAGTAAGTAACACTTTCTTGTTCCTTATCAGCAGGCTGCTTTTAAATTTGGGCAGATAAATGCTTTAATTGTGACATCTATCTTTTTGGGGTGTTCTTGTAAGTTAAACCTTTAAAATGTCAGAGATGCTGTACACTCGCAGTTTTAAACAACCTAACTCTTTCCCTTTGGACATTCTGAGAGTTTCAGCACCTCTTCCAGGCCCTCTTGAGTTGAATTAGTCTTAATTTCAAGACCCCTCATCTTGCATATTGAGGAGGAAGCCTTGTACCTGTTTGTATTTTACTACTGTATTGGTTTATTTTTGTGCTTTTCTTCATTGGTTTTGCAGCTCCAACCCATCTTTGAGTCATTTGTTACTATTTCAGCTGTCTTTTGCTGTTCTGTGTTACTTGCTGGAATTTTACTTTTAAACAGAGGCCTCCTCTTGAAGAATCTCTGCTGAAGAAGTGTCACTCAACTTATTTTATGCTCTTTTAACTTCTATAACAGCCATATGATGTGAACCTACAAGTGACAAGTGTAATAGCACAATTGAGTCAGTTTAAACATCCCCAGCTCCAAGAGTTTCTTCTTAATGCTTCCTTGCCGTTGGCACCAGACTGTCGATCTCTGCACTCCACTCTTCAAAACGTGAGTTGCTTCAAAATAATTACAATCCACTGCTCTTCAGTGACTTTATTCTGTGTCAAGTATTTTACACATACATTTACTGTAAGGCCTGTAAAGCTTGGGTTCCTTATAATCTTCTGGATCATATATGCCTCAAGTAGAGATTGAAGGCAAACAAATCTGGATATATGAAAACACCAACACGACAGGAATCCCCCAAATTACCTTGCAAATTACCTGTTTTTTGTTTAGCCTGCGGACACAGACATATTTCCGGTCGTTGCTTCTCTCCACCTGAATCCACTCTCGGGTAGAGAGAAGCGACGACTGGAAATACGTCTGCGTCTGCGGGCTGTTTCCTTGGGCTAGCAATAAGTATTATCTGGAAAACACCTAGTATGATGCCACGAGGCCCAATTTTGACAATTAGGGTGAATCACTTGGATAGACCTGATGTCTGAATTTAGGCAGGTTTCCATATAATCATCCATGCCATCTAAAAAAATCAAGATGATTTAGACGACCTGGGGTTAATTTAATCAAACTTTTACGAGTGTATATAATTCACAAGTGTAGTCATTGTTTTAGAAAATGAAGTCAGTCGCTACACTTGTAAGATACACTTGTAAAAGTTTTACTAAAATGACCCCTGGTTTTAAGCAAACTACCGATAAGTCATTTTGAAAGAGGTTTGTTTTTTAACATCAAGAGTATAATTTGTCACCTTTCCTCAGTTTAATCATGAGGTTTATCTTTCACATGAACTTGCAGGTTGTACAAGATTTAAAAGGTAGAATACAAAGACTTCCAAATTTTCAACGGAATGTTGTGTCTGTAAGAAGGCAGTTAATGGGAATTGCAACATCACCAGAACACAAGAGGTATTACATATTAGTAAAATCCGACTATAAGGGTCTATTCTCAATGCTGCGTTCTGATTGGTTGAGCTACTTCTAGGCTATATGTTATAGCCCACTAGTAACGAAAAGCACCGACTTTGAAAACCAAAACAATGGCAGCTGAATTGCGTTTTGCTAGCTAAAGTTGTTTTGTCTCAATATTTTTTACCAACTAGTTGGATTTTACTAAAACAATTATTGCTGTCGCCCTCATGGCCTCTGAGCGAATAGCCCATTCAAGCTCGAGGAATAATTGTTAACTGTCATTACTTAGTAAGGCCTTGTCATAAGTAAAAGTAGCAATGTCATTACTTTTTTATGTTTATGTGTTTTGTTTTGTTTTTTAATTTAGGAGATCCTTTATAAAAACTAATTAACTTGAGGCTGTTTTAGTTTGAACTGTCAATATAACTGTAGATTCTTTGGGTGCAAATTCAGTTTCCAATGATATTACATTTTATATTTACAGAAATGAAAAAAGTGACTGTGGATTTCTAGAAGTAAATCATAAACCTAGAGATAGAGTGTTTTGGGTTCGTAATAAACTTACAGAAAGTCAGACAGAAGTTGCGTTGAAACTCATTAAAGATGGGTCTTTTGCTGCTTGTATTTATGCAATATTTATGCACGAGCTTAAGAACTGGTCCCAGTTGTTCAGAAGGTGGATAGCACTATCCTAATATTTATCCACTGGATAGTGATTTACATGGTCGATAGTGCTATCCAGCCTTTGAACAACTGAGGCCTGATGGATAAAAGCAATGTCATGTGGTTTCTCAGGGGGCAAGCAAGTCATTACAAGAAATCGCGGTTGAGTGTGTTTATTGTAGTCAACAGAAAATGAATTTAACTTTTCATCTTAAAGACAATAATGGCAAATTATTGGTGAAAAGGATCATTATTACTTCTTTGGATGCAGTTAGTGACCATCAATGTCCTCACAGCAAACTGTAATATAAATCTTGTCTAAACTCGAACTGTACATTTTTCATGATGACTATTGATCATCATCTTGTTTTGATAGAATAAACAGACATGACCGCGATTACCCGTATTGGCAAATTTTCTCACTTCTTTACCCCGTGAAATACCACGTGACATTGCTTTTATCCCATTACTCCTAAAGCGCAGGCCAAGATGGTGCATGGGTAGCATGATCGTGAATAAGGTCCATTTACCAATAATATCTTAGTAACAAACCTGTTACTGTTTTCAGCCTTAGTGAAAGTAACCTTCTTGAAGCTGCAATAGTTTTAGAGGAATTTTGTAAGGTGAGAGACATTTTAAAACCGTAATCTAGCTGGGTGTAATAATTTTTGTTACAGTCAATGTGGAATTTCATTGTAGAAGATTACAGAATGAATTAATTATCTGCAACAAATCCCACAAGTAAAAGTATTAAAAATTTACTGGAGAAACTTTACCAATATTACACAAGAAAAGTTCAAATTATGATGGTGATGCTGTTAGAAGGTTTTCAAGTTAAAGTCACATTCCACAGATCACCATGCTATAGATAAACCAAACGTTTCTCCTAATATTACCATCTAAAATGCATGGAACTGTTCAGTTCAGAAAACCACAGTGACCTCTACTCTTAACTTGTGGTAAGTGGCCTGTAAAAGAAAAATAATAACTATTTATTGTATGTTACAGGAACTGGCTGCTATCGCATTCGTTAAAGCAACAGAAAGAGTGCAAGGTCGGTAACATCAACTATATGTACCAGAAGCTTATTTGGAAAACTTTATTAGCATGTAGAATTTACCAACAAGATGGATAGGAATGTGTTTCTGCAGTTTTGATTCAAGCAACACATCAGTCATAAGCAGAAGATGCCAAGAACTCCACACATGGAGGGTAATCTCTTCTCAAGAAAAGTTCTCAATTTGTTTGTGCTTTCAAGCAGCCATAGTCTCCCTCGCAGCCGTTTGTTGGGGAGGAGCATTGTGTGATGAGACAAAAATGGCGGCAGGACTGTTCCGTAGGTGACGGGTAGCGGGTGACGTGTAGCAGGGGGCGGGTGATGGGTGACAAATTGTCAGCCTGTCAAAAATAAAAATAATAAAAATAAACCAAAAAAAGAAAAAAAGATAATAAACATTACAAAAAGCGATATTTTAGCAATATTCTTCTACACGATATCGCATGCATGAGATAGCTTGAATTAAAGTAATATTTACCTTAAGAGCAGACAAGTAAGATCGCATTCCACTCGACATGTTTGAACAGTGTCTCAGATTTTTGACAGGTGCATTTGTTCTTTTGCTATAAGTGGGGATAAACATTACATTGCCCATGGAATAAATCTTTGCCAATTTGGTTCCCGACTTGTAGTTTAAAATGAACAAAAGGTCTATTTCGAGAAAACAAGGAAATTTTCCTGAGACTAAAACAACAAAGCTGTCAATGTTAATGCGTACCATTGTAAACCGAACAAGTAAAAACTTTACCAATCGGAACAAATTGTTTACCCTAGTTAACTAGAATACATTGAAAAAATACCTCGTATAAAGACATGTCGGCAGTTGCGAAACCAAGTCACACTGAGTTCTAATAAGCACTTTGCTCATTTTGTAATGCACTTATTGTGCATGATTTCTAGGGTTTTTTTTCCCATATTTGAGAAAATAAAAATAGTCCACGTAAGTAGATAAGACAAAACAAGACAATACTTTTATTTGGAGTCTGGTAGCTAGTACATAAATGTTGAAATTATTTTAAAATTACAACATACAGTTATATCAATATCAATTACACTATAACAAGTTATAATATTTTATTTCATATATATTTTTAACCTGCCACCGGCCACCAGCCATCTGCCACCGGCCACCTGCCACCCGGGGAAAAGTCCTGCCGCAAAAATGGCTGTGAGGGAGACTAAAGCAGCCCCCGCTAAGTACATTTCCTCTCCGTTATGAGCTGGTGAGATCACAAGTGATTAGAAACTCTTAGTCCAGCTGCTTACTTGGGCATGACACTCTACTTTGGACATCTGATCTGTAGAGGACACTTGTACACTTCTTGCAAAAATTTGGTGTTGGACATTTAATTATTGGCATTAATTCACTTTCCATTTTTGTGGAGAAAGAACATTTACTTTGACTACTAAGTGGTTAGAGGAAGGGTTTTGCGGCCTTAGTCCTAAGTAATTTTATTGCAAGATATTATGTTGGATCCAAGATGATATTATTTTAATATGAACTTCTTAAGGAGAAATTTTCAATGGTGTGGAAACTATACGAGGTTATTTTCACACGGCAATATAAACTGCAACAGATAATACTAAAAGATTTGCTGTATTGAGCAATACAAATATATAAAGTAAACTTGACTCAAGCGGTTGTTTGCAAATTTTATTACAAGGCATAAAGCCAAGTGAAAGTATATTTTGGTTGGTAGTAAAATTTATCTTTTGGACTAGAAAGTGATTCTCTTAGAGCTTAAGTTATTGTGTACCATTGTAGCATAAAAAGATCAGAGTATACTATAGGTCCAGCTATTCAAACTTTATTTCCTGTGTCTGTTATGTCTATAAATGATTGGCCTTTATCTGTGCTAATTATGCAAGAACTCATCTTTTAATCAGTTAAAACCTGTAGCCTTCTATACTATTCAAACTCGAATAGTAACAAAAGTGTAAGAATTCCTTGATAAATAGAATCCTCTTATTTCTTTATTCAAAAGCTCACTTCAAATCAGAAAAATAAATATTATTGTAATAACCAGACTTTTATGTAAAGGCAACAGGTAACTAACTTAATGTTATATTTTGAACTGCCAGTAACCAAGACAGTGATACAGATCTACTGGTGTGAATAATATACCTGCAGAGTTAAGATTCACAGTAGACTTGTCCAATGACCCAACCAAACCAGACTGTTAGGAAATATACATTCACAAAATAATATGTGGTTGAATAATAGATCGTTTTCAGTCACATGGTAAGCAGCTTTGCAAATTGCTTGGTATAAAAGAAAGTTTTAACATGTGAAAAGAGTTTGACTCCCACAGAATTTTTTTGTACACAAACATGGCCGCTGATTCACTGTTTTGTACAAAAATATGGCTGCCGTGACATCATGTGGAAACGATCGAACAAACTTAAAAATATTCTCTAACAATACTCCTGAGTAATGCCTTAACATAAATAATCTTTGTACACTTTGTGTATCACCAAATGGGTTCAAATAATTAGTATATTGTTGAACAAATATTCAAGTTTAACCCACAAATAAAATTATTTTATTGCGCAAGATTCATTATTGTCCCTAACAACACAGTTTTGTCAATAAGTCTCAGTTTGGTGCATGATACTTCTATCCCACAACTTCGGGTTGCACAGTAAAGTTAAGATACTGTTCACCTCTTTTGACCTCTATTTTAAGCGTTTCTCCTTTGTGGACATACTGGTAGACCTGTTTTGAGGATTCTGTGGTCTTGCCATTCATTTTTGTTATAATATCGCCTGATCGCAAACCACCCCTGAAAGAAAAAAAGCATACAGTTGAACCTCTCCACAAAAGCCACTTTGGGGACAGAACAAAGTGGCCATTGTGGAGAGGTTTACACAAGATTCAATGAAATTTAATGGACTCTCCGCCTCAAAAGAGTGGTCATTGTAGAAAGGTGGCTGTTGTTGAGAAGTGGCCATTATTGGAGGTTGGACTGTATTTACCAAAAGGTGTAGTGTGCGACTCTTTCTTTAACCTGTGATCAGGTGGTCCTTCTTCCCTCTCTCTCTTGGACAAAAAACTTTGGGACCAGCTTTATGTGTCCACCTTTGAGAGATGCCTGTCTTATACAGTTAACAGTCTTATAACAGTTAATTTCTGAGTTCCCCTTGGCCGCTGTTTCAAAATGAGGGTAGGTGCTCAGCCTTTGATATGGAAATCATTTTTCATTCTCATGCAAATAAGACTCATTTCCACAAGAAAGTTTGTGCATCTAGCCTCATTTTGAAAGTGAGGGTTTTTGGAACTCGGAAGTGGCCTATTAAAAGAAGTACAAAAAAAAACTTTGGGACCAGCTTTATGTGTCCATCTTTGAGAGAAGCCTGTCTTATTAAAAGGAGTACAGAAAGGCAGGAACCAACTTGAAGCGTCCCTTGCCTGTTTTCTCACTGAGGAGGACGCACTTTTTTTATTATGGTAATGCATTACCATAATATATTTTCTCAATTAAATGCCCCAAGCCTTAGTTTGAATTTGTAGTTTATATGCCTTTTCTTGACAGCTGTGTATCTTGCTTTTGTACTCTATCAGTTTATTGTACACCATTAAGTCTGAGGGACTTGTTAATTTTACAGCTGCTTCTTACGAGCTAGCATTTGAGCCCTGGTGTTTAATCAAGAAAATATGGTATATTATAAGAAAGGTTTCTACCACGCAATGTATTCACTCAGATTTATTATTCCCTAGTTAATAACTTACCTGTGTGCAGGCGAACCATAATTCACTTGTGGAACAAACACTCCAGATGTAATTTTGTTAAAACTTTGGTCCCTCCGTCGTAACTCTGCAAGAATCTGTGGAGTCAATGTCAACATGCTGACTCCAATATACCAGCGCTGGTGAGGTGCAAGTGGTTGCCTTGTATTTCTGCCCATATATTTACCACTCTTAACTCTTTCAATTGCTCCTGATAGGAAGTCTTTCGCAGCATCAATTGGAATGGAGAATGAAATTCCGGCAGCAAACCTCACGGTTATTGCATTAATACCAATAGCATGACCATCCTGTATAAAAACCGCAGATCAGCTTATTGGATTATTTTGAAAAAAAAAAAAAAGGAAGTTACACAGGGCTGTGCTATAGTAGAAACCAACGGCTCCTGGTGACAAACTTTTGCCCATAGGCAGCTGAGAATCTTAGTTTCTGTGAAAACCTTGGGTACTACCAACCTAGATTTCACAGCTTTGAAACCAGAGGGCTTCCAATAATTTTTTCCATAACACACAATCTCCCAAGTTGAAAACTTAATTTATAACTACCAAATGTTTACCAGTATCTTGTGCAAGATTGATCAATAATTCAACTCAACTATTGGCTTCTACTCTTTCCATCATCCTCATACAACTATGGAGAATATTTTGCCCTTTTTAATTCAATGAGTTTTGTTTTCAATAACACATCTGATTCATTCTGCCAATAGTTTAGAAGAAGATTAAAAAAAGGTATAAAATTGATAACATATATTATTAAATACTAACAGCCATACCAGATTAACAAGAGGTCCGCCAGAGTTTCCAACCTTTATAGAGAGAAAAACACAATTAACCAAATCAGTTTTTGTTGTGGCAAACACTGGCTCTTGGCTGGTGTATTGCTCACTCATGGGACTTGAAGAGTTAAGGAACATAGCTGGAGCATGCATAGACTCTGGGTTTCAGAGCAAAGCAGCACATTGGTCGTCAAAAGTTTCTATCAACTCCATGGCCACTTTGCCATTTATTTTTGAACTCTCTCACAAAAACTGACTCATGATTTGTTAGTCTCACTCACAGTTATTTTATTGTCATCACATAGTGCTTATTGTGTGACAACACTGAAACGGCTGCAAGGGAGACTAACAGTTTGTTGGACTGACAGTTACAAAAAGGTGTACTGTCTCCATGGGAAAGCGTCAGTCAGTCTGCTGACTTTTGCCATCCCCTTTAATTTTCAGTACCTTTACCGTACAATAAATTTTGTTTTTCTTACTCCCTCACTATCTGACTTACAGTGAGTTCTGTCACTTATTGTTTTACATGATCTGACTCAGATTTTTTTTCTTTTTTGACAACCCTCATCCCTTCTCCCACCCAAGATCTTGACCTGTATGAACATTAAAGCCAATGATTTACATTTATAGCCGCATCTGTTTGGATATATTCCATCTCTCTGTTTGGCAGTCCAATCTCTTCCCCAGCTCGATGCACAGTGCTGACAATTCCTGCTGTTATTGTATTGCTCAGCTGTAGAGGACTACCCATTGCTATCACCCATTCTCCAGGGCGAATTGTAGCAGACGAGCCAAGAGTCAGAGTAGGAAACCTGATATTCTGGAACAACGTATAGAATTGAAATGAGCTTTTACCCTAGAATGATAATTAAAACATACCTTATACCGAGCATGAAAGAATAATGTACTGTGATTCATCAGTGGGTAAGATTCGTTTTGGTAGAGATTACATAAGATGCCGCCCCGCCCCGCCCCCACTTTTGCAGGGAACTGCTTAACACTAAGAACAGCAAAACAAACTTTCTTTCAACGTGGAACCAAGTCAAGTGAAGCAGTTGTTTTATTTATTTATGTACTGTAGTTGGAGGAATGAAATCTACGTATGTTGCCTGTCTAGTAGATATGTTGTGGTTAATTTTTTATTTCAGTTAATTTTTATTTTTCCATCGTTTTTGGCTGCAGTAATGTGTGCTAACGAATTTTAAACAAAGGAAAAACAAAAATTAACTAAAATAAAAAATTAACTGCAACAGATATGTCTGCATGGAGTAGTATGTGTATGTGAATGTTATTCAGGGGAGGAGGGCAAGGACAACAAACCACCTATCAATGTTATCACAAGGAGACCTCTGCATATGTGGGGTATCCCACCTTTATTTTCATCTCCACCCTTTAGGGTTTGCCTAAGCGTGTGGACATGGGGACATTTTTTTCTTCCTTTCTTCAAGGGAAGTAAGAAAAGTTACATACCCCAGGGGGTACTTTACAGCTAAAGGGGGCAAAACTCACAACCCCCAAAAAAATTTCCTAGAGCTTCCAACAAAACCCAAAAAATCTCTGAACTAAAAATTAACCCCAAAAGAATCCCATGCTAAACATCCGATCCTTATAAATTTTCGGTAAAGGATTCAATGATTTCACACTCAAAAAAACGTACCATCTAATCACTATCCAGCAGACAAGTATTAGGACAAACAAATAATTGCACTTTCCACTGGATAGCAATTTACCCAGTTGATAGTGTTATCCACCTTTTGAACAACTGGGGCCTGGTAGACTAGAACAGGCCGGCATACGTGGGTGGCTCTACAACAGTTTCAGATTTTTCTAAATACCCAAACCCACCCACCCCCACCCCCCACAAAAAAAAAAAATCAAGGCACTGCAAAAAGATCCTTGCCAAATTTTTCAATCCAAAAAAATCGTTCGACCATCCCCTTCCTTTAATTCGGAGTATCCCCCACCCTCCCCTCAACGGGTTACATACCAACCTTACTTGAATCCAACTTGACAGCTGCTAAATCATTCTCCAAGTCAATATCAATCACAGTGCCACTAAATTCTCGGCCATCTTTTAGTTTAACACTCACATTCACAGCATTTTCCACCACATGTGCATTCGTAAGAACCATACCGTCCTCAGTGACAATGAATCCCGACCCGGCACCAGTGGGACCAACATGTCCCCTAAAAAATCCCGCGTGTCGTCCCGTGACTTCAATGTTTACAACGGCAGGGGCCGCTATCTCTACAGCGTCCGCGATGAAATTAAATGTTACTGACCGAGGTGGTGATCCCGAATTTGACGACACGTCATCACTGGGAACCGATTTCGCTTTCACGATGGAGCTATCTTTCCGACTTTTGAAAAATTTAGGTAGTCCATAACCCAAGAATACACCAAAAGCTAGCGAGCCAACCCAAGGCCAGGGATATCGTTTAGTAGTTCTTTTGCTTTGAGTACTGACTTGTCTACAAATACACTGAATTCCTTTAGTTTTCCACTTATCTGAAAGCCAAAACATTTGTTGGAAATTTCGCCATCTCCTCAACGTACTGGTGGTCGCCATTTTGACCCAGAATAAAGGAGTCTGGGTAAGAGCCTAGGACTCAGTTCCCCGACACATTAGCGCGGCTCAGATCAGCTCTGACTCTTTCTTTTCGTTTCTCCATTTAGCCCTTATTTAGCCCGCGAATAGAGCCATCTCTCCTCGCCCATCGCCACTACTACTAGGCAAACCAGTGTCACAAAGACGCCTCTACGAAGAAGAGAGAACTGACACTGCGCCTGTAAACACGTCTATAAAAGAGGGAAATTAGCTCATATTTCAGCACTATACGTAGAACCATAGTTAATTGAGTGGAATGGTTATGAAACCCGCCAGACTCCTTTGTTATATGTTTTTGTGGACCTGAAAGTGCACAACGTTCAAAGGAATTCCTATCATTTTGATTGTATTGACCAATAAAAACGTTGCATTAATTTATTCCTTAACAATTTGCCAACAGAAAACAAAGGATTGTGCACTTTCAGGGTGCTTCCAACATAAACTGTAGCACTGTTGTTTTTATCATTGATGTTTGCCGCTTTTCATAACCAGTCTCCTCTAATAACTATGGTAGAAGCCAGAGTTGGAGTAACTAGTTAAATAATCTTGTTATTTACCTGAACTCTGGGACTGTAGAAGATAAGCTCTGCTGCATGATTATTTTACCGTATAAAGAACCTTGTTCATCTTCGGCAGTTTTGTTTTGCCACTTTTACCCTTGCATATCACGCATCTCCGTTTTTCCCTGCCTTGCCTGACTTCCTTGAAGAGAATAAACTATGAAATTCACCAAAGCGTTGATAGCCTGAATTTCATCCGATTACTTCGAGTCGTTATGAGAGGAGAAGACGACTCGAAGCAATCCGGATGAAATTCAGGCTAAAGGGTTGAGTCATCCTTTGCAATTTTGAATTTGAACATTTGACAGGTGAAGAAACACTCTTTTTATCCCGCTGTCAACGTCAGAAATCGGAGTGCCAGTGATTTAATGAACAAATTTTGACATACAAAGAAATCTTCAAGTCAGATTTCGACAACTGTGGAGACAATTTATGTATTTGTTACTTTTAATTTTGTCTCCGAACTTAAATTTCAGACGAGTGTCTAATGAAAGAAACCATTTTTTACTAGTATTTTACGAGAAACTTTTGTTTTTCCTTGAAAAGAAATTCATTGACAGTTAATTTTGTTATTGTTGCTGTTGTTGTTGCTTTTGTTTTTGTACTCAAAATGAGCTGCTCCCCTTCTATTCTGGTGAGTTCGGTGTGTTAGCTGTCTGTAAACTGCACCAGACAGTAATAGCCCGTCACAGCGCTTAAGGTTAAAACTGAAATCCCCCGCAGTTTTCATAAAAGCGCTTAACGACCTCCAAAGAGAAAATAGAAGGTCTGTGAACAAGCTACAAGAAGAAAGGATGATTAGTGAAACTGACTTTGGCGAATACAACCATCTGACTTTAAAGGGGCTTGGTATGTCACGCTGTTTGCTGTCTCTCTGAAAAGCTTAAATGCTCCTTGGCATCAATTTAAAAATAATGGTCCAGTTTCACTAATGCTTAAGACTATTTAGGCAGTTCTGCTTCCTGTTGTATGTTGCTGCCGGTGGCAAGGAAGGAAATGGATTGAAACTTGAAAAAGTTGGGCAAAAAAAAATTATGTTTAGAGTGCTTCCAGTCTGCTAGACTGCTACACAGACGTTTTTCGTGTCGTCACGCAACGCTCCTCGTTGCGTGACGACCGTGACGACCCTAAAAAGGGCTGTGTAGCGGACTAGAGTGCTTCCTGGTGAAATTTGTTTGATATCTTCTTCGTAACTTTATAGGAGCATTTTGTGTATGGATAAAGGCACTGAGTAATGACTTCAGAACAGAATTGACCTAAAACCGCCTCAATCAACCTCGTCCCCAGGGCTTTTCCACCCATTTTTTAAGAGAAAAGCCCTGGGGACGAGGTTGCGCCTCAATATCTTCGTGACATAGAGTAGCCCCTTTAAAGGGCATTCCAGTGAGGTATGTATCTACTATTTTTGTATTTTTTTTGTGTATTTTATTTATTTTCTCCATTTATTTTTTTACTACAGGCCATTTATACTATATTACAGATTTGAAGATATCATTCTTAAGATTTGAATATCGGATTACAAGAATAAATGGAGAAGGGCAAGATATCACGGTGAAACTAATTACATGCCCTTCGATTAAATTACAGTTTTATTTAGGATAAAAGAGGAAAAAAAGAAGTATATAATGTATGAAATATGTAAGAGAGAGAAAAAAGGAAAGTGCACAAAAAATACTGGAACATACGAGGGTCGGTGAGGCGATGATTAATACTGAGCAAGATAATAGTAATATAGTGCTCTTTTAAACAATTTTTTAGTTGTCTTTTCACGACGTATAGGTAAAGGAATATCAAGACATTCCAATAATAACATCCTATACTGTTGGACAGAATTTTCTTATCAGACGGATATATAACGGGTTCCTGTTATAGGCGCTCAGAGACAAGGGTATTATGGTCAGGTTTTGAAATCGCGTGCCAAAATTATACTCTTTACACCTCTCTCTACCCAGTGGCCGCCCTGTCTCTGTCTGTGGGTGCGGCAGTTGGCACCCCTCGTCCCTAAGAGACAGAAACAGGCCAGAAATGTTACTTTGCGACCTGCCCTATGGCCTGCACTTTTGCCAAAACTTTTTATCCCAGAACATTGTAAATTGTAAATTCGACTGTTATGTGACCCTTGAAAAAAAAACCTGCTAACAATCTTTTTGGCACTCTAGTTCGCTTCGATTCGTACGTGACTACTTTTGTCGGGCATCATAAGTTAATAGCCTGAGTACTGATATTAAGTGACATTTGTTATGTGAGAAACATTTTGGGTGAAAAGAAGTTGTGATAATTGTTTGTTAGCCGCATTTTCTCGCCTTCTGTGAGACTTGATCAGCGTTCTCGATCTCTATATATGCTTTTGCGGCTTACATCACGTACGAATCAGAAATAACCGCGGCAGAAAGTAAATTAGTGGCGGAAAGAAAGAGGAAATGCTTGAACACGTTCTGAATTTCCGCATCATTGCCGCTTTAAGTTTATACATATTTAGTCATCTACGCTTTCCGGTGGACTGTTCCATGTGGGTGTTTATGTGAAAGAAGCGTGTTGAAAGGTTTAATTTTTTCCCTAGTTCTTTGGTGGTCAAGAAGGAATTCCAACAAGAGTTACTCCTCCTCTCAGAAGACATCGTTAACACTGGCTGAAACGGTTTTTTTTCTTTTTTTTTGTTGGAGTCATGCGTCTGGCTTTACGCCTGCTAGCCAACCGCTAATATTGCAGAAACTTGTACGCAGGCTATTTATTTTTTGTTTGTTTGTTTGTTTTAAGTAAAGAAAAACGAAACTTTAACCGCTAGCTCCCAGTCAACAGTTCTTTTGGATAGTTGACGAAATCCTTGAGATTCACTTCCTGACAGCTAGAACTGCACATGTGAAGTTCGACATATGAATTGAAGTCGATCTTTTGCCGTTCTATTCGACAAGCGCAGTCGAATAGAACGGCAGAGTCGACCCAAATACAAAAGTGCCGTTCCTAATTGATTCATACGTCGAACTTTACATGTGCCGAACCTAATAATTAGGTTCGGCACATGTAAAGTTCGACGTTTGAACCGGGCCTAATTCACTAATTGTCCAAATTTTTAGTTGTTTGAGCATGAGAAGGCTTCTAAAGAGTCACTTGATCCATTACTCGTAAAAGGGAATGGCCTTTCTCACACAGGATTCATCAGGGCGGCGCTGTAATTCAATTACATTCAAATCCCGCTTTACGGACACCCGCTTAATCTATACGGACACCTCATTATTACCGACAGTTTGCTCTGTCCCTGAGGAAAGAAAGCCCTTACATTTTCTTTAAATTCAACACCCCGTCAATATGGACAGTTTCTACGCCCCCCTCAGTGTCCGGGGTTTCACTGTATAAGCAGCAGAAGACTGATTATAAATGGTTGGTCGCATACGGAATGACCTTAATTGAGTCTATTAAATCTACGTCTATATTAGTTTTATTTGTCATAAACCGTGAAGAAACAGCCCTTTGATTTTATCTCACATTCTCTCGATTCCCTCAATTTCTCTCATTTCACCAAAGGAATTTAGTATAATCTCGCTCGTATCCGGGCAATAATACAATTTGCCATTTTTGCCATTGTTGGTCCAGAAAAACCACTTCGGTGGCAAAAATACCTTTTCCAGTATTATTTGCAAAAAAATTTAAATGATTTTTGAAATTTCAGTTGCTACTTATCGCAGTTAAGATCTCTACCAGGTATGGTCAGATCTTAGTAACAACACTTTATATTTTCCAAGGCTTCAAGGTTGTTTTCTTGGACTTTCCCGAAAACCTGACCCTAACTGACTAAGTAATCTTGGACAGAAAGCATTTTATTCTCGAGTTTAGCTCACTGCATTAATGGCATTCCGCATAAGCCTCTGTTATTATTGCGTAAGCACTCAAAATTTACGTTTCAAGCGATCATGTACGTAGTTCACAGTGTAGTTTTACAACTATGACTACATATATACGTACCTGAAGTCTACAATAACATTGCACTCATACTTTTAAACTATAATCTGAAAGACTGACATATAGCAAAGAAGAATTTTCTAGCTACTGCTTTGCGTCAAAGTTCGCGAAAAGACCGAAATGTTCAAAAAGCCCACTGGGTCTGGAAGGTAACAAAACGATCTTTTTGGGGTAAAAACCCGTGTTGACAAATTTTGTCAATATTTTTTAGTCAAGTGACGGACGGACGGATGACTGATTCGTTATCGAAGCCCTTTTCAGTACTTAAAAGTAAAAAATCCGTGAAATGTCGGAGGTCGAATGAACTGCTTCAGATTGCTGTAGTTGAATTCATTTATACGTGACTATGGAAAGCCTTACTGCGCAAACAAGTGGAAAAAAAGGCACTCACATTTACCGTAACCTGAGCTACAGAGAGACTGGCAATATACTCCTTTTTTATCAGCA